TGTGCATAAGGTGTCTATATAGTTAATACTATTAAGTTTGTATCGACCAACCAAAGCACTGGAACATGTCATGAAACCTATTCCGTGTACACCAAGTTCTTCCCTTATAATTGTTATGTTGTGTAATAATAAACTATAGTTTTAAATTGTGAAACTTGTACATAAGGTATGAAGCTGTATATAGTTGTAAATGATAAAATAAATGTGAACTGGCTTGCTATACAATACCTTGTACTGCTGTAAATATGTGTATGAGAGGTGAAGGTGAACTCTGCGGGTATAAATCAGATATTTATCTTTGTATTTTCTCCTTATTAGATGTAGGCCGAATCGTTGGTTTTTGTATGAACGGGCTACTTTGAAAGCAAAGGTGATGAAAAAAGCTTCCTAAATTATGCCAGAGAGTTTCTACTAGTGTTCATAGATTAAGTGAGTGCGACTTGAGATCACTGTACATTCTTTTGGCCTAGTATAACGGAAATTCCCTATTGTGTCAAACCTGTGCCGGTAGGCCTATTCCATTTTTCTTGACAGTGTGAAAATTATATAATACCTTATACTGACATATCAGCGTAACTTCAAAATAGTCTTTTAGCTTTTTCTTTTAAATTGTAATATTATTTGATTTCTGTAAAACCTTGTAGGTCTTGGCGAAGGCAAGTCCTCTTTCTGTTGACAGAATTTCAAGTTCTCTAAATACCATTTTTAGAGGGGAAGCACCTTCAACACACTCACAGACATTTCAGAAAATAAATTGTTAGGTTCATTACCATCGTCAGGAGGTCAGCAAAGTTTCCCGACTGTGCCCGATGACCACTGCTAGCCCCTGGATTATATCTTTATGCACAGTTTAGGGGATTCCCCGTCAAAGTACAGCAATAGCAGTTTATCAAATAATCAACCTCACATCTGGCGTGATGTTGACTGTGAGTTATTTAACTAATCTTGATCTTTTTCGTGGTAATCATAGTGGTTCAATCAAATTGTGCAATATTTAAAGAAACAAAAATTGACGACGCAAAATCCACCGTACACATTATTGGGGTAACTCTTGACAAAAATCTTTCATGGAAAAAGCACAATAATAGGTAAACAAAAGTATTAGTTCTAAGGCAGGCGTGCTTTAAAAATTTAAGACGTTTATTCCATTATAAATTGTGTTATTGTAATATAATTGTTTTATTTTCAGGTCTGGAAAATACATATGACATTTAAAACCAACACATCTTCTCAGAAATGAATATTACCTACTATAACACATTCAGACAAAATAGCACACCCATCATCACTATTTACAGAATTGGCAATCTTTAACAACATGAATTATTATGATGCCTTCCCGGTTGCATGGAGCAGCTAGGCTATAGTATGTAGAGCGATTGATGTAGCGACAATGTAGCGATTGTACGTAAATAAGCTTTAAGTTTAATATACATACTATGATTGAAACGGTAATCGGCAACGAAATCAATTTATAAACTTTCCATGAAAGGGGGCGTGAAAGATTTGATATACAAACAAAATTTATCAAATGATTAAACAAAATTTACCATGCTTGTTATGCAACAATGTTTGCATCATGCTGTATAAAAGGAATATATTTCATAATTCATCACCATTCACTTATATTTCATCACGGAGAGACCAAGTAACAACTCATTCAATTTTTATAGTGAAGTTTTATATTGCAATAAAACTTAGACTATAAAATGAGCAAAGTAATACAATCGGTGGTTCTTTGCATCATACTTGCCTGTATGTATGGTTCACCAGCACACACTATGAGTACCCAGGATGTCGAGAATTCTCAACACAAGGTAAGGGCAAGCGTTACACTACATCGTATTACCACTGATATTGTCATCAACGTCTTTCTGAGTGTTGTGTTTTTTGTGTTTATTTTTTATCAGTATAAATTTTATTATTGAATGTTTAGTAATTAGAAGTTCAAGTTTGCTTGTTTAAAAAATTTCGACGACATTTATGACATCAGCGTCGCATAGGCGACCGGGATGAACAAATACAGATCATAGCAAATGTACTTAATATTTAAGGGAACCATTAATGAAATTAAACTATAAACTCATTTCTTTTTTTATTACAGATGATGTTTGAGGAATTGTTCGTTGTTGAACGTCGAACTTTGACGGATGACGGCATTATAATAGAAGTAGAGGCTCTAAAAGGGTCAAGTGCTTTGACAGTCTTCACTGACGTCACTTATGTAAGTACCAGTGTAGAATGTACAAACACGGCGATGGTTTTTGTTGATGTTCATATGTAGTTTTTATGTATATGTTTAATTGATTACATTCAATAGTAACATGATGGAAATTATGAAATATTAAATGCTTTTATCTTGGAATTAATGAAGAAACATTTAAAACCATTGACTTGCAAGATAAAAACACAAGCAATTAACACTAATCTCCATGGATGACTTGAGGCATGAAAAGGTTAATGAAGTTCAGAAGTCTATTGTATTAAAAGTAAAGCAAACTTCTAAAGACGATAGTCAATATATCAATTTAAAAACCAATATAAATACATAGAAAAAAATCTTCAAGCTTGCCAAAAAAAGTGTTAGTTAGTAATAGTAGTAGTAATAAATAGTAGAAAAAAAGTTTCATAAATTCTTTAAAATTAATAATAATTTAATAGGTGACAAAAAGAAAATTGCTGACGAGTTCAATTTTTTTTAACAGGAATTTTTCCTGATAGACTGAAGACTGTTAAAGTGATTCCTTTGTATGAAAAACATGATAAAACTATACTTAATAATGATATGCCTATATCTATACTTCAATAAATTTCAAAAATGTCTGAAGAATTATTTTTGATCAACTGCATAATTATTTTCAATGTAAAAACATTTATTTTACAGTCAGTATGGTTTCCAGGAGAAACACCTGACTGAATTAGCTGTACTGGAAACAGTAGACAGACTAGATTATTAACTCGATAACATACAAATACCCTTTAATATATAAAGTTAATTATGTTTTTGCAACACCGTCTAATAGATATGATTCAAATTGTATCATTTCTAAGGTTATAACCATAGTTTTTCTGTTTTTGCTAATTATATTAAAATATTATTCATTCGAATATACAATAAATATTGTTGTATTACTAACTGTTATTTATGTATGTAATAATTAATAATGGTAATGGTAATTAGAGTGTTTAATTTTTTATGATGATTTCCTGTTATACTGTTATACTGTTATTATAATCATCTAAAGTCATCTAAATAATGACATATAAAATTTTACCATGAATAACCAATACATGTATTTATTTCTGCGGTGGCTGTCATGGTAGCTGCTTATATTGTAGCCTTAATGAGAGTCTCCCGACCATCAATCTGTTTTAATATAATTGATATATGTCATGATAATTTATTGTTATAATTTTTGGTCTAATAAAATTTTCTGAGATCTGAGTTCTGAAATTTATTTTAATTGCTCACATTTTTATACCTGAATACTACTATTCTGATCAATTAATCTTAAGTGTTGATATTGTTCAAAAGTTCAAAGTTCAAAACATTATTGAAGTAACATAATGTATTTTTTATAAGGTTTTGTAACCCATCTATCTCGTATGCTTTTTTCCGTGACCTCTAAGGATAATCTAAACGGGCTACTTACTATACATTGGATAAAGAAAATGAAGTCTTATATTATGACATTTCAAGAACTCTTTCCTTGATTTTTTTTAATTGGTTAGATTCTGTATTATTGACATTAAGTTGCAATATTTTGTTTGTTCGTTAACTTTGACAGGGACTACTCATTTATCGATACAAGGGCGATGACATTTGTTATATATCGAGCCTAGCGGAGTACAATGATACCAGATCGGTAAGCCTACGTTATCATTTTATTTTTCCTAATACAATTGATCATTATCGTAGAGAACTTCATTAAGAGTTATATTCTGTATACTAATTTCATTGAATCATTGTTTCATTTTGATAAATACAGTAGACCTTCTGTTAATGGATATCACATATTCTCGAAGAATAGTCACTCGGCCTAACGAAAGTAATATTATTCAACTTAACACTTGTTTTACTAATTAGCGCTTACTATTATATATTCCCCTTTTGCATGTGACTTTCATAACGAATATGTATTTGAATAACGATAATTAGATATAATACCACTAGTACACTGAACAAGACATAATATGTCAACAATCATCATCTAAGTCATCTGAAATAATGACATATATATTTAAAAAATAAAAACGTAAAATAATTTATATATATATTCATATATATATATATATATACTTTTTATTTTATATATTTTTCTTTTGAATATTATTCAAAAGATGAAGATTGAATTCACAGCATCAGTAGATCTACATCAGAGTCAGAGGAAGCAACTAAGTTTTAAAACGGAGCAAAATAAAAATCAACAATAATAATTTCAGAGAAAAATCCGGGGCTATTTATAATTTTTGTGGTGCGAAACGCGTTGAAACAAAAAGTATGGTAGCCAATTGATGATTATGTGATCGGAATTATTAATGACGTCATGTGGTTTGAGTAACTTTTTTGATAAAGCATCATCATTGTCTTACATTACAAATCACTACTTGACAGAAATTCATAATTGACTATCGTTTAAAATCTCAGATTAGAGATTATTGTTGAGTACAGTTACCACTAAATTTACTTTCTGCCAAACAGCGTTGTGGCAATAATTATTATTTCACAAGGTTATTAAGATAGCGTCCTTAAAAAAAAATCTGAATAATTGCATAACTGGAATATTTCGTTATCGTCTTGATAATTTCAGGCACAAGAAAACCCTTCAAGTATGTTCAAGTACAGGTTGGAACCAATTTCAGAACTTAACCATCATTACTTCAGCTACACGGCTACTGATTCGATGAAACGCATTTGCAGTGGCGCTAAAAACATATTATGGAGTAAAATTGACGCTGAGGATGATAAGGAAACGCGTCAGAAACGAAGTTTTTCTTCGTGTAGTATGTATGAGTGCTACATGTGTCGCAAGTATAGATTTTACTGCAATAGTTCTTGCCGTATTTATTGTCGAATGTTTGGTAAATAAATGTAGTCTATTTCCACTTAATAGCATAGGCATATACAACGAGTGAATAACAATTGGGAATATTTAATTTGTATATTGAGCAAATGAATAGCATATTTGATCATGACCCACATAACGGGTTTACACTAACATTTAATTTTCATTAATAAAGACTTATTCATTTGCATTTTCATTAGGAATAAATACGTTTTTCTCAATGAATTATACTATGCCTTTTATAAAAATACAAAGAAAATGAAAAGTAGGAAAAAAATCACCAAGTGATAGAAATTCAACTATTCTACTGAATTTCCTTTCCGCGACCAAGACAACTCTACTAACTAGCTAAGCTTCATAATGATGCTTAGTTTATGTGAATATGGTGTTTACGTTTGTCTTGTGAGACATATGCCATTTATAGTGACTTAGTTCACTGCTTGTCAATTTTTGGCCTTCGGCCTAAAATCAGTTAAAAATAGATTAATAAATAAATGAAAAGTCGATGATACGTACGATTTTATTTTCTTGTCAATAATCAATTACATAAATAATTAATTATTTTTTATCTATACATATGGATTTTAAAATGTGTAGGTTCAAATATGGATATGCATAGGCCTAAGACTTATACACACACACCTATATGTGAAGGGCTACAACCGATGACATTGAAAAAAAAAACCTTACAGTGGTGACATAGTTAATTTTCGTTGTTTTATGTTAAAAATATGTGTAATGCTATTTCTGTGAGTAAGCAAGGGATTTTTTGCAACAACCCTAAAATTGTGTAGGCCACTGCATAACTGAGTACGAATATGTCACAAGATACTGCTGTTTATTTTTACAACACACAACGCGTGTCTTGGAAAAATTCCTAACTAACGGTGACTTTTTAATGAAAAGCTCAGATATTTCACCAGGGGTATGTAGAGGGAGCTCGTACTGTTTAAAGCTATTTTGAGAATTGCCGACGTCATCGCTTGCGAGTATGTCATCTCTAAACAGGTGTGTCATCAGTTGGTATGGGTTCACAG